AGAATAGCTAGAAAATGAAATCAATGATTACTGCAAGATGGAATCTACAAGGTGCTTTCTCTACCAGCTCAACATCATGATTGAGAGCCAACCATTCTTTTCTTCCTGTGCAACTCATGAACATTGAGGACATTTTAAATGACTACAGTATTTCCCCTGGAAGACAGGTGGGTTTTAAGACCCCTATCTTTAAGGCATGACTATCTGTCAATAAATATAAACTGAAAAAGTGAATGGCCTCAAGATGTGCCCACAAGATGATTTTAATTGTGAAGTAAGATGAATGGTGAAAACTAATAGATAATGTAGGGATTTTTTTGTATTTTTGGAGGGGAGGTGCAAAATAATTACACTGTCTCTGGGGAGTCCTTGTGAGGCAGCTTGAGGCTGTGGGGCCATGCATGAAATTGTGGGACCTTATGGATCCTCTTAGTCTTCACTGACAACCAAATTCAATTTAATGCCTGCTTTAGCCACTAATAATGCACTATTTGTGTAGAAAGAAAGGCATTATGTTTTTCACTTACTTTGTTGTAGCATTAGTTATGTTCAAAAGTTTGGGTTGTTTGTGGGGGGGGGGGCTTGGTGCCTGTACTCGTGCTTGAACCCAAGGTCCTGGAGTTCTGGCTTGACTTGCTTGCTTGGCTAATGTTTTACCACTTGAGGTATGCCTCCAGCTCTGCTTTTTTGCTGGTTAACTGAGATGGAGTCTTGCAGACTTTTTTGCCCAAGCTAGTTTGAACTGCAGTCTTGCAGTTTTCAGCCTCTTGCATAGCTAGGATTACAGGTGTGAGCCACCAGCAATAAACTAGTTTAGAAATTTTGAATTCATTCAGACAACTCTAGGCTATACCAAATGTCTACAACATGTTATTGCATTGCTGAACAGAAGCAGATTATTCCCGATTTCTTGTTGTATGTAAAATACTCATCATACTTATCAACTGGAATCAATTTAGCCCCATGTCTTGAGCTCTTTCTAATCCCCCCATAGTAATAAATTAATTTGATTTTTAAGTGTAACTTTACTTGTAAAAGTTGGCTATCCTTTGGATTTTTGAAACCACACATTTATGGAATGTTATTAGAGCCTCACAAGGAGAAAAAAGGCTTAGATGATTTGCATAACCTCCAGTTGGGTATTAGCCATAAGATCCAACTTATAAAGCCCTCTTACCAAGGTATTTTTTTTGTCTTTCCTTTCTGTCAAGCTTAATTTCCATTCACAATGTGTTCAAAGGCACCATGGAGTCATGTAACTTTAAACCAGTTACAAACTGGAGCTGTTAAAGGCCAATGGTGATGCTTTTGACTTAGGTAGCAAATTCTTGTATTGGAAAATTGTGTTATCTGATTTTCCACAATCTTAGAAGTTGGGGCACGAAAGTAAAAAATAATATCAAGCGCTTAAGGGGCAGTGCATACTTTCTAAAGCATCTGTAATTCAAACTCCACTGGCATCATGAAATCTCTGAGATAACATCATTAATATCCATTAATATAAGAGTAGAAGCAGATTTGGGTAGGAAAAGCTAGCCAAGACAAAATTTATTTGCATGTACCACAAACAACAGCCCTTTATCATGGCTTTGCAGGCACAGAAATAACAAAATGCCAGAAGCTAAGCCTAAGCAAATACAAAATTAAGAGGAAATTCTCAAATTACTTATTGAAGTTACTAAGTAATTGGACCACACAGGTTTTCAATAATAAAAAGGATTGGCAGAATGTCTCACTTTATATTCTTACTGCTCACCATCCTCTAATTCTTGAAAATTCAGTGCCTAATTTAGATAAATACATCCTTATTTTGCTATCCTTGAATTTCTTTCAACTATGGGAAAAGTTATACTCCAAAAGGAAATGCTGAGAATTTCAAATCCGCTGAAAAGGGAAAATTTAAAGAAATCACTCGATATTCAGAGCTTAACTTTATCCCAAAGCTTTCCCTTCGAATGGCCAGCATTTTTCACAGTATCAAATTCCCCCATTTTTCGCATTATTTATCAAAAATTTTAACATGAGTTGAAATGGAAGAAAACACCTAAGTGAACAGAATTCTTTTACAACAGGAAAACTAGATAATGCCCCAATCCAGGGTTACAAGAAACAATATGGAAAGGTACAGTTATAATCACAAGACATTGTAGACCTTACACATAGTCTATTTCTGAGCATTTTCATGGTATAACTCAGAATAGCTAGAGTTCTCTTCTGAACTTTTAGGACCTTATCAGAATATTCTATAGCACTTTCTAATAACCAGTTCCTAATTCCCCTTTTATCAAAAGAAAGCAGTACTTCTGGGATGGGGTATGGTCCAGAGAAGAAAAACAGCAGACTTTCGATCCAGCCCCCTAACTCTACCTCCCCTCCCAACTGCTTTGTGCTGGCTATGGTATATTAACAGGTCCCTAAGGAAATCCTAGGCCTGGGGAACCTTTTATAAACCACTTAAACTTGGCAGCTATATACCTGAAAAATGATAACTTCAGGCAATAAAGTTAAGCAGATGGGAGTCTCAACTGACTTTCATACATTCATTCCATGAAAACAGATTGAGCACTACTCTGTGCCCTGTTTCGTGTTAAGCATTGGGCACATCAATAAGATGAAAGACCTATTCTCTCCGTTCAAATAATTTCACTACTAGGACATTTCTCAGTGTCAGAACCAGAGGTTCCTTGACTATCTCACGACCTTCCTCTGCAGCCCTCATAGTTGACCTCTTTCATTCCTGAAGACATGGTGGCCAAGGTTCATGGACTTTCTTTCTTCCTCAGGTTTGGCCCTAACTTTAGGGTGATTTCTACATTGACCTGGATACTTCATATAACACTCTAGTCTCTGTTGCTTAACTTCCTATCATTTCTGCATGGAAATTCACACCTAATCTACTTTGCCACCTACTTACATGGTCATATCCAGATCACTTGGAACCAGGCTACCTTTGAAATAATTCTCAGCAATGCTTCTCTCTGACCCCAACTCTTGGCCTTCAGGTCCCTCACTCTCTCTTCTTCTAACTCCCTTTAACATTTCTCTCCTTGATCCCTCTTCCTTCTAACTATCAGGCTTCCAACCAAACTCATAACTTCTGCTGCCCCACATGGCCTTGACCCTAGTAGAGGTCCTTCTTTCTCCTAATGCACTGGTGCTACCTCTTGGGAATTGCCCTCTCCCCTACTGGCCATTCCTTTGTAATCCTTTTTGTAAGCTGCTTGGGCTCTATTGCAAATAACTCTTCAATCTGCACTCCTCCCAAGCCACCCATCCCCTCTGTAGTTGATTACAGTCAGCATCTACATGATGATGGTTCCTAAATACTGTCTGTATATTTCTCCTGAGTACCACAGCTTCAAACCCAACTCTACCAGCCAAGTCCACCATTCACAGGGCAGCCCACCCCAAGGACCTGTCTGTTTTTCTTGACTTCCCTTCACCCTCTACATCAAATTAATCACCAAGCTATAGCACAATCCATCTCATGAATATTTCTAAACCCTCTCCACTTATCTCTATTTCTATTTTGCTAATTCAGGCCACCATATTGCTGGTTTAGATTTCTGCAACAGGCCTCTCCCCTGTCAGCAACATAACCCCCCCTCAACCCAGGCTTTGTTTCACAGCCAGTATGATTTTTCTAAATGAAAATCGGATCATGTCATCCCCTTGCCAAAATCTCTTGAAAGGCTCCCCACTGACCTCTAAATTCTTTAACTTGGGTTGAAAAAGCCTTTCACAATCTGTCTCCTGCTTCTCTCTCCAGCCTAATATTTCACAATAGCCCTCCTTGGAATTCTGTGCTTTAACCACGTGGAAGTCTTTTCAGTTCCAGAGTTCATCATGCTTTCTTTGGCATTTGGGCCTCAGATCATAGTCTTGCTTGTGACTTGGAGCACTTTTCCAAGAGGGAAATTTACTTACTCTTCTGGACTCACCTAGCTTATACTTCAAGCAAACCCTTCTTTGACCCTCACCCCACACAGGAAGATAGTCATACAGCACCCCATTCTTCCACTGTCATAAAACTAAATACATGACACTGCACTATGCTTTTCACTTTTCCTAAGTGCCTCAGCCAAAACATAAAGACAAATATCATTTTATGTTTTTACCAATCGACTATGTTGTATGTATTTTGCCTACATGTCCAGTTTTATATCCCTTATTGGATTGTGGGTTCCTTCGTAGTAGGGGGTATGCCTGATGTTTTCATGATCATATCATGAATACCTAGAGACACACTCAAACAATACTATACTCTAATTCACTTTATTGACAATAGACTTTATTGACAACACTTCAATATTTCCCCAGATACTTGATTTCTTCAAAAAACAACAACAATCCAGTCATTTTTCTTTATTATAGCATTCACTCATCTGAACTTAGCATTTAAATAATAAACCACACACATCTATAAAGTTGGTTTTGACAAAATAATCTTCATCTCCTAATACTAAATATCCTTTATATGAAGAAGAAACAAAGAGAATGGGGAGGAGATAATTCTAGCTTCATAAAGATAATTATAGACACCACAGTGATATTCTTTGGGAAATTAAAATTATCATTATCTTATCAATTTAACATAAGTAACTAAAGAATATTAACATTATATTGCTAAGTGTAATAGTCTAGATAGATACTAAAGAGACTTTAAAAACTGAATTCTGTGTCGCAATAGGACTTGTAACAGCTATTCAAGTGAAAAGACCTCCAATCCACTTTGGTGTTGTTTTTTGCCAGTCGTAGGGCTTGAACTCAGGGCCTGGGCTCTGTCCCCGAGCTTCTCTGTGCTCAAGGCTAGCACTCTACCACTTGAGCCACAGTGCCACTTCCAGCTTTTTCTGTGTATGTGGTGCTGAGGAATCAAACCCAGGGCTTCATGCATGCTAGGCAAGCGCTCTACCACTAAGCCACATTCCCAGCCCCTCAACTTTGGTTTTTAAGCAATGAAAAATTATGAATGTCTTCAAGTACTTGTTAATACTTACAGCAAAGGGCCTTCTGTAGTCTTCGGAGTTTCATGGCAGTCCTGTAAGCTGAGAACCTGACATTATTCAGGTCAGCTGAAAAATAAAGAAGGAAACAAAGATCATTTGTTATTTCATCAGAAAGCACAGACAAAAATCCCCAATGCAACAACCACAAAAATAGACTACGAAAAAATTCTTGTGTCTTTGCTCCAAACTTTGGGAGGTGAAATACTGTTTATTTAGGGTTACAAAAAAAATCCTTTTGCCCCTTGACAATCAGGAAAGCTCACTTCTGTAAGGGATTACAGTGGCAGAGCCTGCAGGCATTCATGTAGCCCTGGTTCTCAAGGGGAAAGGGAAGACAGGCACGGTTTTTCTCTGTAGACTACAATCTGGATCTACTGTAGTGAATCTTTTCGACGCAAGATTGACAAGAACAAAGGATACATTACTGAAATCGCTTTAAGACCTTAGCAAACACTCAAATAGTAAGTAGTATTACAACTTTGCTGATTACAAAAGGTATACATGGTCACTGTGGAAAATGTAGAAAGTAAAAAATACATAAAATTGTGTAAACAAACCATCAGTGATCTTATAAGATCTATCTTGTTAACATTTATTTTCTTTTTGAGACAAGGTCTTATTATGGAGCTCAGGCTGGCCTTGAATTTAGGATCCTCCTCCTTTTGCCTCTGCCTCCCAAATTCATGAAGGGCGGTCAGCATTTATTTTTTACATTATGTGTGTGTGTTTAAATACAATTGGATCTAAAAATCAATGTACATTTCTTCTAATGGACATAAAATTACATGTATTTGGCAAGTACAACATGATGTTTAAGGTTTATATATACATAAAGGAATGGCTAAATCTAGATAATTAACATTACCTCGCACAGTGATCATTTTGTGGTGAGAACAGTTAACAGCCACCCTCAGCATTTTCAAGAATAAAATACACCATCATTGGTTGTGCTCACTATGCTGCAGAATAGATATTTGGAACTTATTTCTGCTAACTGTAATTTTGTATTCTTTGATCAACTAAGCTTCATATTCAAAGGTACAATTGTAATATTCAGTAAAGTGTAATAACTCCATAGTTTATTCAACTGTTTTCTACAGTCATGTGTCTGTCAAGGCTCCACTCAAGTCAGTCAGCATGAAGCTATATTTAGATGATGCTTTTATTCAAGTCTGTACTTTGATATACACCAGGCTGAATTTCTTTTCTGTTTCTGTGTATATATGTTTCAGAAACCCAGCTCCCTTAAGCTCCTTAAAGAGCCCCATCACCTACTTCTATCCTAATTCTCAATAAGTTAATATACAAGTATTCTCTAAAAATTCAGATCTAATATGGTGAGGGACAGATAAGCAGAATGAATAAATGAACAAAGGAATGAAACAAAACACAACCAACTGATATAATCAACAGGTACCCATAAGACCAATCCCAATGTTATATTAGAAAAAGAGAAAAACTTTAATCCATATCCAAGTCGCTTGATCAACATTATTTGCTTTATGGCTTTGCAGAAACCAAACATACAAGTCTGGATTTAAATTAGGGAGAGAAAAACTATGTGTAGCATTGTTTATTTTAAACTACTCAGCATAAATTTTGTTTTCAAAAACTGGCAATACCAGCTGGTACCTATGGCTCATGGTATCTTCTCAAGGAGGCTGAGCTCAGAGGATCACAATTCATAGCCAGCCTGAGCAGGAAAGTCCCTGAGACACTTAGCACCTATTAACCATCAAAAACTCAGAAGCAGAGCTGTGGCTCAAGTGATGGAGCACTAGCCTTGAGCAAAAAAGAGCAGGGACAGCACCCAGGCCCTGAGTTCATGCCCCAAGACTGGCAAGCACACATGTGTGCGTGTGTGCAAACACACACACACACACACACACACACACACAGAGGCAATGCTACATAATGGCAAGATAGAGCAACTGGAACTCTTGTACACTGCTGATAAAAATGCAAACCGTGATAACTTTGGAAACTCAGTTTAGCAGTTTCTTATGAAATTAAACATATATCTACCTTATGACCCAAATATTTAAGTCATAAATATTTACACAAAAGAAATAAAAACACATATCCATAAATGGTGTGTATATAAACATCCACACCAATTTTTTGTAATTATAAAAAACTGGAAACAAACTATCAGAGCAATAGATAAACCAATTGTGATAGTGATGCAATGAATATTACTCTGCAAAGAAAGGTTATATGCACTGATAGCACATTTTAAAATCACGAATCTAGTTATTCCATTTATATGAAATGGTAGTACAGGCAAAACTCATCTATGGGAAAAATGGTAACCCGGAGTGGCTTGGGGGAGAATAACAGACCAGAAAGTAACACAAAGGTAATTTCTAAGTGACTGGAATATATGTACTTGGATTTGTATGGCTGTTGCATAAGTATATATGTTTGCCAAATCTCAAATTACATACTTAAAATGGAAGCCTTTTATAGTGTTTAAATTATGCCTTAATAAAGTAGATTCTAAGAGTTTAAAAAAATGCTCACGTGGACAGCACAATATGATGTATGAGTGTGTTAGCTTAAGGTACACTGTAGAGGCGGTCAGTTGTCTTAATCAAGAATGCACACTCCAGGGGTGGCTGGCTAGCAATTAATCAAAAAGCCTTACTCCAGAGGCAGCCACTGTAAGTACTGCAGCTATATTTAGCTGGTATTACACCAGGGGTTTCATTAATTATCCTAATTAATGTTAGATGGGCTTGTGTTGGTGATATCAGTGGTTAGCAAAATATGAAGATTGTTGAAAAGATTTGGAAACATTCCTTGCCTTTACATTAACAGAGCCTAAGAAGACTCTAGCAGGTCCTATAGCTTTGGAAATGGTGCCCTAGGCTGGAATCCAAACTGGCCAGCTGTGTTTCAATGGATTCTCAGTTGCTAGAATTCAATTAAATGACCGGCAGATCCTTGTGGAAAGATCAATGGTTTTAAAACGTGAGTCTACATGGACATCAACCTGGAGGGCTAGTTCCAAAATGGTTCCAGACCCAAATGTTCTGAAGGTGGGGAGGAAGTTTAGCATCTGCATTTCTAACAAGTTTGCAAATGATACTGATGCTGCAAGGTCTAAGGACCAAACTTTGAGAATTACTGTGATAAAGGACTGTGGCAAGTATACATTGTGATCTTGTTACATGGAGCACTAAAAAATAAATAAATAAAGGCAGACTGTGACTTTCCTGTGCCTCTAGGCTCTATTCTTATTTGTGCCCACTGGAAAATAGATGTTTGTATGTGATAACCTTTATTCTGAGCCTGGCTTTCACTATAACCAGGTGGCCCAGATGGGGTAAGAAAGCAGCTAAACTTTAGCTATCTCCTGATTTGTCTCTTTTTTCAGTCATCACTGCTTAACTTTGTTGGGTCCTCTCAAATAATTCCTGGTAAAAGTTGTCTTGTGGCATTAATCTACCAATTTTTTTTAATTCTTGTCCTCCTCTCCAGATGGGTATAATCACTCAGTGTTCCTGCTAGTGTAGAGATGTTTCATTCACACTCCTAATTGAGTCCCAAAGGCTGTGTGTGTGTGTGTGTGTGTGTGTGTGTGCGTGTGTGTGTGTGTGTGTGTGAAGTGTGTGTGAATACTAGGGCTTGAACTCAGGGCCTAAGCACTGTCCTTCAACTTTTTCACTCAAGATTGGTGGTCTATTCCTTTAGCTGCAGCTCTACTTCTGGGTTTTTACTGGTTAATTGGAGATAAGAGTCTCAGAGGGTTTTGTGGCTGGCATTAAATCTAGATGCTCAGATCTCAGCCTCCTGAGCAGCTAGGATTACAGGTGCGAACCACCAGTGCCTGGCCACATAGGCTCTTGATAAAATATGTATTTTTAGGATGAAAAAAATGCAGATCAATTAACAATAGTCAGGAGCAGTTTCTGAAGTATGAGGTTTCAACCCCAAATTTTCTTTTATTCATTTACTTTTACAAAAATATTGAGTGTGAGCTGTATGCCAACTAAACATCTTGGTAAAAGATACTGGCTCAAGTTTTCTCTTCTTTTCATTTTTCTTTCTAATCCTTGTTTGCACTGCTTCTTAGCTTATTGGCATAGTTTCCTCCTCTCTTTCGTGTTTTGTATAACTAAGGACCTTCTTTTATGACTTCAACTCCTTTCCTCTTTCAAATTTTCCTGGTTCTATTCAGAATTCAGAACAAATGGCCCAAATGAGGTCACACACTCCATCTAACTCTCACAGTTCAAATCAAGGACTGGCAAACTCCAGGAACTAGAGAGAGATCCAAGTGAGAGGCAAAGATGATCCAAATTTGATCAGGGTGTGGATCTCTGGAGAACAATATTGAGAGACAAGCATCTGGAACATTCTTGCCTTAGCAATGCTCTCAGCTTCCCTAAAGGAGTTGAAACTTCTCCTCTTCTCCAATTCCTTCTTATTATGACATATTCTGCCTCCTGTTAACCCTCCCTGAGACTCTTACATCACATCTCTAACCCACTGCAAAGAACAAACCTTCTGCTACCACTTTTCTAAGCACCAACATCAAACTTACCAAAAGAACAAAGCAGGATAAATGGCTAGTTTCTAATACAATGCTCCAGGAGTCATATGAGTTCATATCCAGTAATCATCAATGAATTGTAACCAAATCCTGGTGCCCTGGAGGAGTTAACTATTTCCCTTGATTGGGTCTGCATGTGTTGCAAGGAATCTACAGCATCCTCTTCTCCCTCTCCCTTCCAGCTAAAGGAGTTAAGAGGGATTTGTGAAACTGTGTAGGATGCACACAGAAAACTCATGAGGGGAGGCAGCTGCAAAGAATGTGACCTGTCCTCAGCTGAAGCTTGAGATGACTGCATGGAGAAAATATTCATGTTCCCTTGGGTGACTACCCTCCATTTTCCTGGGGAGCTGCTTTCCAGAACTCAGATCCAAGTTGTAATGAGCTCACTAACTTTCACAGCCGGAACTCGAGAGAAGTGAAACTATCCAAGAAATGAGTTACACCATGTTTCCATGGCAGCTGGTAGAAAGCACACTTCAGAAGGATAAAAATTGCTGGACTGCAC